CTATTCTGGCGTCTGCTGGGATGGCTTATTAAATTTGTGGTTCATCCCACATTGATGTCATTATGAACGGTTGGTCAGCCACACCCTTAGTGTTCTCTTCAGAGCACTTCAGAATGCTTTCTCAATTTTTGCAATATGAATAGGCTGAAAATTTTACAAATCTTATTATTTAATTCCATTCATTATTATTATTTTTTAAAATTTGACCAGAGAGAGACAGAGAGTGAGAGAAAGCGAGAAAGAAAGCCGCCAGGTCCAGAACTCAAACCATGGTTGGCCATGTGGGAATCCAGCACCTTTAAGTACTACACCAGCTGCTGGCCCCAAATTTTACAAATCTTTTAAGTTCTGGTTCCTTTTTACTTAAACATTTCTTCTTCTTTTTCTCTTCTCTCTCTCACGCACACTCTGTCCTTTTTCAGACAAGGTCTCACTGTGTCGTGCTCCTCCAGCCGTAGCCTCCTGAGTAGCTGGATCTACAGACCTGTGCCACTGCGTCCAGCTTTTCAGGGTGGGTCGGGATTCAAGCCAGATCTTCCATCTGGCCTCAGTGCAGCAGTGTTTACCATCGCGCTCCTGTATCTGGGGCCCTTCTTGCATTTTACCATAAGCGATCAGGAGGAACCATGCTGCATCTTCAAAACTTTGCTGGAAAGTCTTCTTAGCTGGGCCAGCAGTGGTGTGGTTTGTTTTTTTTTTTTTTTGGGGGGGGGAGAGCTTTTTGTTATAGGGTGCGTGTGCGCTCTCCAGAGAGACAGAGAGAGAGACAGAAAGCGAGAAATCACCCCCGAGGGGATGGCCATGCCACAGTCCCTTCTCCTCCATTCTCCTCTCGGGATCTTGGGCACGTACGCACACGCACCTGGCGTGAGTTTAAGCCACCGGGTCTGGGACTCAAACCACGGTCGACTATATGGGAGTTCAGCGACATAGCCATTACGCTCACTGCTGGTCCCGTGGCGTGGTGTTTCAGGCATGGATTCCGTCATGGCTTACTGCAGTCTGAGACCTGGATGCAGTAGCTTGAAAATCACTCTGGGCATGTGCACAAGGGTGCCAGAAATTCTGAGAGGAGAATGGAGGAGAAGGGACTGTGGTGTGGCCGTCCCTCTGGGGGAGTTGTTTCTCACTTTCCTTCTCTCCGTCTCTCTGGCAAGTGCACGTGCCCTATGGCAAAAACCTAAAAAAAAAATCTCTGGAGCAGACTACCTAGTCCTTTTGCTCACAGATTCTTCGTTCTTTCAAACAAAGTACTAGGCCAGGCATGCAATTCAGCCTAGTACTTTGCCACTTTATAATAAGGACCACCTTCCCCACCGTTCTTGTTCTTTATACTCGTCCGAGGTCTTAGCGTAACCACCTTTACCATCCGTGTTTCCGCTCATGTTCTGTACATGCCTGCTTTCCAGCAAGATGGAAGTTTACAGCGCATTGCTCTTCCCTTTGACGCCTCACCCGAGTCGCCTTTAACAATCCTTTCATGGTCATAGTGGCATTTTCTAGCGTGCATGTGCAAACTCTTCATACCCTTCAGTCCCCTTGCCTGACGCTAAAGCTGCTTCCACACTTTTAAAGTATTTGTCACCACGCCACCCCCTTCTCAGTGCCAGTTCCTGTCTTACTTCAAGTTGCTATGACAAAATACAGGTTGGGTGGCTTCAGCAACAAACATTTATTTCTCACAGTTCTGGAGGCTGGATGTTTTTTATTTCTCCTTTTTAAAAAAATCACATAGGGGGCCAGGCAGTGGCATGGCGGTTAAGCCTTCTAGATCCCACAGGGTTGACTGGTTTGAGTCCCCGACCTGGCAGCTTGAAAAACACATTGGCACATGTGCGTGCATGCCCAAGACCCCGAGAGGAGGGAGGAATGAGGATTATGGCATGATTATGAAAGGGGGTGCTTTCTCGCCCTCTCCCCTGAGTCTCTCCAGGAGCACAGCCTCAGGCAGATTAAAAAAAGCACAAAGGAAGTTTAGCAATAAAAATAGTTTTAAAAATGATGTAGGAACAAGATGAATACATTGAGAAGCCCCAGGCCTTACTCACACTTCCCATCCCTCGTTCTCGTTTTTCATAACCACTTTTTTTTTTTTTGGAGAGGTTTTTGCTATAGGGCGCGTGCGTGCGCCAGACAGACAGAGACAGAGAGACAGAAAGCGAGAAATCACCCCCCAGGGGGGATGGCCACACCGCAATCCCTTCTTCTCCATTCTCTCGGGATCTTGGGCATGCACGCACACATGCCCAGTGTGAGTTTTAAGCCACCAGGTCCAGGACACGAACTGTGGTCGACTACGTGGGAGTCCAGTGACATAGCCATTACGCCAACTGCTGGTTCCCATAACCACTTTTTAAATCTTTTTAAAAGTCACTTGCCAGGGACCAGCAGTTAGCATAATGGCTATGTCACTGGACTCCCACGTAGTCGACCACAGTTCGTGTCCTGGACCTGGTGGCTTAAAACTCATGCTGGGCGTGTGTGCGTGTGTGCCCAACATCCCGAGAAAATGGAGGAGAAGGGATTGCGGTGTGGCCATCTCCCCTGGGGGGTGATTTCTCGCTTTCTATCTCTCTGTTTCTCTTTGTCTGTCTGGCGAGCGCATGTGCCCTATAGCAAGCCGTATAGCGAAAACCTCTCCAAAAAAAAAAAAAAGTCAGTTGCCAGAGGACGTGTGTTCACCAGAGAGCACCCCCAGGGGGCATGGTTGTGCTGCCATCCCGCCTCCACTTCTCCATCCTGCTGGGATTCGGGGCTCGCATGCACATGCGCCCCGTGTATCTGTCCAGTCTGGGATCTGGCTCTCTTAACCACTAGGCCAAATGTGGGTAAAACTTACCCACAGTACAGTGCACAAGCCCAAGACCTGTCGATGTGCATAAGTGAAAACACAGAAAGACAGAATGTTTGCAGTGCCCCGAGCAGGCTACATTGGGTCCTCCCCCTCCTCACTACTCCCTGAGGCCACTTTGATTCCTCCTTTTACCACCCGGGATGAGCTTGGCCTGTTCTGCTCCTCCACTGGGGCAGTGAGCAGGGTGTCGCCTCTGCCTGGCTCCCTCCCCGGGTCGCCCTCAGAGCACGCCCCTGTAGAGTGCAGCAGGCACTCCGTCTCTTTTCTTAATGTGTCATGATCGTGGGCGGCGACGTGGTGACCGACGTCTGAGCAAGGACATGGGGTGATTTCCGGGCCTGGGCTCTTGTGCACAGCACTGCTCTGAATGGCTTTGTGTGCATCCTTGGTGGAGCATGCGTTGGGGTGCAGATTGCCCCAGTTCTGACTCCCACCAGCGGGACGTGGTAATTCCGCAGGGCATCATTTTGACCCTAGCAGCTCGTTCTTCCAGTGGCTTTTTGTCTTTTCTGGGTGCTTCTTCCACGGTTCGGGTGGTGTCCTTGGTGTCCAGCCTTCCTTCCCCAGCCCGGTGGTTTCGTTCTTTGCAGCCCTCATGGTAGAAGAAATTATGCTTAGTGAACTTGTAAACTTAAGTTCTTAGGGGAAAAATAAGTTTGGGGGACTGCGTTAGGGTTCTGCAGAGAAAGAGCCAACAGGCTGTATGTCCATTCCTAGAAAGGCTTGTTCCCCCGCAGCTGTGGAGGCTGAAGGTCACGAGGTCTGCTGGGTAAGCTGGCGAGCTGGAGACCCAGGAGAGGAGTCACGACGTGCTTCTCTCTGCAGAAACGTGTCGTGACCTTTCTGATGATGCAGTGGTCCTAGTCCAAGTTCAAAGGCCTGAGAACCAGGACAATCTGTGGTGTCATTCTAGTCTGAAGGCTCACAGGCCCGGGAAGAGCTGAAGGCAGAAAAAAGCTGAGGTCCCAGTTTAAAGACAGGCAAGAGAAATTCTCCCTAGGGAGAGGGTCAACCTTTTTATTCTATTCAGGTTTTCTTTTCTTTTCTTTTCTTTTTTTTTGGAGAGGTTTTTGCTATAGGGCACACGTGCTCACCAGAAAGACAGAGAGACAGAAAGTGAGAAATCACCCCCAGGGGATGGCCACGCTGCAATCCCTTCTCCTCTATTCTCCTCTCGGGATCTTGGGCACGCACACACATGCGCCCTGTGTGAGTTTAAGCCACCGGGTCTGGGACTTGAACCGTGTCAACTACATGGGAGTCCAGTGATATAGTCATTATGCCAACTGCTGGTCCCCAGGCTTTCTTTTTTTTAAATTATTTTTAAAAATAATTATTTATTGTATTTAACTTTATTTATTTATTTATTTATTTGTTAATTTGACGAGAGAGAGAAAGCAAGCAAGATGTCAGGTCTGGGACTCGAACAGTAGTCAGCCATGTGGGAGTCCAGCGCCCTCAAGAACCACGCCACCTGCCAGCCCCCTATTCAGGCTTTAACTGAGTGCATGAGGCCCACCCACATTACAAGGGACATTTTGCCTTACTGTCTCCCAATTTAGTATTAATCTCACATGAGAACGCCCTCACGGAAGTACTTAGAAGTCTGGACGCCCCGTGGCCCAGTCAAATTGACATACAGAATTAACCACAGAAGGGTCAAATTCATACATGTAGCTAAGGTAGTCCCTTGAGAATCCTGATAGATTTTACACTCATTTAAACCAAAAAGTGAAAGCAGCATTTATTTTTTTTTAGATAATATATTTTTCTTTTTCTCCCCATTTATTTATTTATTTTTACATATCACAGAATTTTTGCACATACTCCATACTTCTTGACAGTTAACAAACAACTTTGAAAATTTCAGAATACTGAATTTTAAAGATAATATTGGGACCAGCAGTTAGCGTAATGGCTATGTCGCTGGACTCCCACGTAGTTGACTGTGGTTTGTGTCCCGGACCCGGTGGCTTAAAACTCACACCAGATGCGTTTACATGTGGGCGCAAGATCCCAAGAGGAGAATGGAGGAGAAGAGATTGCGGTGTGGCCGTTCCCACTGGGGGGGGATTTCTCGCTTTCTGTCTATCTGTCTCTCTCTGTCTGTCTGGCGAGCACACATGCCCTATAGCAAAATTCTCTAAAAAAAGATAATATTCAAAATATTTCTTATAATTTTGTTTGTGACTCTGTATCAACAGAAACAGTATGATTTTAAATATTTTTGAGAAAATACTTACATGCCAACTACTCACATTGTTGAAAAGCAAAGGCCCAGCACACTAGTCACACATAAACCTTCTCAGTTCAGCCCTGCCCACCAAGTATTCTGTGATATGCCATCTGCTGGCGAAGATGGGTCTCTTTGCCTTCCTTCAAAGTCTTTCTCAAGATAATCCTCTGGTGTGTTTGCTCTTTTGCAGTCTCTACTGATTACAACGCTGGGCTGGAAAAGTCCAGGTTATTTTATGTTATCAATTCTTTCATAGATCTTCTCTAATCCTCTTGGCCAGGCAGAACCATTTACGGTGCCAGGCCATCTTTCTAAGAGCTGCTTTCTAAGGCTTACTTGAGAGCCACCTTAGTTCCATAGTGTTCTGGTTAATCTTCAGGTATGCCATTCCAGTCGAAGCCCCGTCCAGTAATGAGTATTTCCAATGTCTGACTGAGCTGAAAGCAGCATGTTAAAGCGGCGCTCAGGGGCATTTTGTGTATTCGAGATGAGTGCCGAGTGTGCAGTTGGCTGAGGCTGCTTGGTCCCTTCATGTTTCTCTCTCCAACAAGTGTGCACACCCTAAGGCAAAAAAAATAAAGAAAATAATGATGTACGCGTCCTAAGTTGTAGGTAGTAACCGTTACCTAAGAACAGTCTAAAACAATAGCAAGGTCAGCTGTGGTGGGGTGCAGTGGAAATGCAGCACTCCATGATGCTGAAGCCACGCGGGAAGTCCCGGGTTCGTGTCCTAGGACCTCTCTTTACATTCTGAGTACATATGCACGCACGCACACACACACACACACACACACACACAAACGCGCACATGCGCGCACGCAACCTTGATTCTGGCTGGCTGAAGCTGGTGGTGGGTCACTGTGTGAGGGACACTGTTGGGGGTGCCTCTGTCCCTCTCTTTCTCTGAGGAAATAAGTAAATACATCTTTATTTATTTATTTATTTATTTTGGAGAGGTTTTTGCTGTAGGGTGTGTGTGCTTGCTAGAAAGACAGAGACAGAGAGAGACAAAGCAAGAAATCACTCCCCCAGGGGGGGATGGCCACAATCTCTTCTCCATTCTCCTCTCAGGATCTTGGGCACGCATGCACACGTGTCTGGTGTGAGTTTAAGCCACCAAGTCCGGGACTCGAACCACAGTCGACTACGTGGGAGTCTAGTGACATAGCCATTACGCCATCTGCTGGTCCCTGAATACTTTTTTAAAAAGACAAATTGGGGGACTAGCAGGCGGCATGGTGGTTAAGGTGTTGTACTTCCACATGGCCAACTACGGTTTGAGTCCCGGATCTGGCGGCTTGAGAGTCACACTGGATGCGTGTGTGTGCATGCCCAAAATCCCGAGAGGAGAAGGGATTGCAGCATGGCCATCCCCTCGGGGTGGTTTCTCACTTTCCTTTTCACTCTCTCTCTCTGGTGAGTGTATGTGTCCTATGAAAAAAACTAAAAAAATTTTAAAAATTAGGAAATACAGGTAAGAATAACAGAAGAAACCAGTCTTACGTGTATAGGTGGAGTTGTTCGGTGCGCCCCGTTTTGTCCCTGCCGCTCCCGGTGCTGTCGTGCCTTCTTCCTGCTTAGGAAGCATGTTCATTGACCATCCGTGCACCCTGCTTTGACCAGGCTTTATCGGTGGTCTCACGGTGGTCTGGGGTGGTTTTCAGATCTTTTAGAGGCTGTTTTTCAGTTAGCCAGGAGATAACCACTGTGAGCCCTGTAGGTTTTTTGCAGCAATTCCTGGAAATGGGATTGCTGGGTTGAGGTTCTACAGGTAATGCCCGTGGTCCTCCAGAAAGCTTGTGTGGTCTTCTGGGCTGGCAGCGTTTGGGTCTGCTCCCCTGATCATGTTCACCTGCTCTGTGTAGTAGTATTTTCAGACGTCCTACCTGACTGAACTTGTTAAAATGGCACCTCACTACAAGTGGAGCATTGGGGCCGCAGTTGGCATAGTAGTTAAGGCACTGGATTCCCACAGGGCTGACTGCGGTTTGAGTTCAGAACTGGTGACTTGCTTTCTCACTTTCCCTCTCCCTCTCCCTCTCCCTCTCCCTCTCCCTCTCCCTCTCCCTCTCTCTCTCTCTCCCTCTCTCACTCCCTGTGTGTTTGTCTCTGGTCAAATTAAAAAGTAAAGATAATAAATACAAATTTAAAAAAGAATAAAAAAGAAGTGGAGCATGTCCCTGGCATGAGCTGGCAGGGCCAGAACTTCCCGGCATGGTCTCAGACCTCTCCCTGTGTCTCTCCCCGCCAGCATGTCTGTACTTCATCTGCAAAGCCTTGGAGAAGGACTGCCGGTACAGCAAGGGGCTGGTTCTCAAGGAGAAGATCTTTGAGGAGCAGCCTTGTCTCCGTAAGGACTCTCTCCGAATGTTCCTCAAGTGGTAAGTCAGCCCCTTCCTGCCCTGCGCCCATCCCCACGAAGGTGCCGTGCATCGGGGTGTACTGCGTTCCCCTCAGGCCCTGACCTGGTGGGTGGAGCCCCTGTGGAGCCTCTCACTTGGTGACCTCAGCTTCAGCTGCCTGGCCGGTCACTCGGCGTGCCTAAGGTGGGCCGTGTCCTGTCTCCATTGCCCTCCCACCCCCGGCTCTCCTGGGACACTCTGGTCGCTTGCTGTCAGGCTGCCTCCTTTCCCCCTGCTAGGGTTTCGTCCCCAGTGCTGCCCAAGCTCAGTGTCCCAGATGGGCCTCTGATCCACGCCGACCCGTCCTTGCCTCCAGTGAAGCCCACGCTTGGCTGCATTGCCGAAGAGGGCCTCTGCAGCCTGTCCCTGCTTCTCCCTCCTCACCTCTGCTTTTCCTCTCAGGCTCTTCCTGTAGTGCTGCCCCAGGTCCCTGGCAGTTACCAGGCCTAGCTCCCTCGGGCACATCCTGCCTCCTTACCTGTCCCCCCATCCTGCTATTGCTCCTTTTTCATCTCCCCTTCTCCAGCTGAGCCAGCAGCTCCTACCCCTGCTGTTCTTGGGCCCTCCACTCACTTGTCGGGATTGGTGGTTATTTATCTCCACGTCTGTCCCCCGAGATCTGTCCTCTTATTCGCATCTGCCCTTTAACCTTCTTGGGGCAGATAGATGACAAACAGGTCAAAGGTCAGTCCCCAGTGAGTAGCCCTGTGGTGTAGCCTCATGAGAGACCTCGGGGCCATCTGGGCCGGAGCTGTGACTGTGGGAGGGCACGCGAGACCTGAAGCCCCACCTTGTGTGTACTGGGGCCGCCCTTGACACTGGCGAGCTTGGCTCCTCTGATGAGAAACTTCTTTGTTGGGGTGGGCGTTCCAAGTTAAATTCTTTGATATTTTTCTATAAATACTTGAGAGCAAAACTTGGTTTTCCTGTGGCTTTTCAGTCAACAGTATTGATACCTGTAATACTTAACAGAAACTCCTGCTCTGCCCAGTTTTGAACTGTCGAAGGAACAAAGGGTATTAGTCATTTCTAGTGTATGGGGTATTAGGAGTGCTAATTACTGTCTTTGGAGGCCAGGCTCAAGTGGTTCTTTTATTTGGGGGAAGAATTAATATAGATTACAGGGTATTAACTTAAATGCATCCCTTTCTCTGAGGCGTCAGTCTTGGCTCTAGTTTGTAACGTATCTCTCCCCGTCTCACACGTCTTAGTGACATGTCCATCCACGATGTGTCAGTGAGTGCCGCAGAGACACAGGCCATCGTGGACGAGGCCCTGGGGCTGCGGAAGAAGAGGCAGGCCCTGACCACGCGGGAGAAGGAGCCCGACCTGAAGCTGGTGCAGCCCATCCCCTTCTTCACGTAGGTCACCTGGTATCCCTGGGGGTGCTGGGCCAGCTGTGGGCCTGCAGGAGGACGCCACCCTGCTTAGGAGGGAGAGACCCTGCGACCCCGGGCTGGTGGCCTGAGTGGGGTGGCGTGCAGTGTGGCCACATGGCTGGAGGCATGTACTTAGTGGTGACTGTAAGGAGCAGGTCAAGTGTGCCCCATCTAAGTCCCCCATTGCTGTTGTCCCTCCTGACCCGTGCCACCTGCCACTTTCCTGCCAAACGGCCCTCTCAGTTTGCCATAGCAGAGGGCTGTGGAGAAGGAAGCTAGCATTGACCAGGCACAGCTGGGAGGGAACGGGGGCCAGAACAGTTACATGGGAAACCCGGAGCTGCCCCAGTCTGGGCTCCCCTCCAGGCCCATTCAGGGTACCCTGCAAGAGGGGCCTGCCCTGGGGGCCTCGTGATGTGTGAGGGCGCTCTCGTTCTAGAGAGGGTGAGCTCGTGTGGGTGGCCAGCTGAAGCTGCGGCAGTCCAGCCCCTTAGTGAGCTCTGGCATTCAGTTTCTATTTTGAATATTCTGAAATAGAACCTTTTTTTTTTTAACTTGCCAGAAGTCACTTGTAATTCTGAAATAGAATCTTTTTTTTTTTTTTAACTTGCCAGAAGTCACTTGTACTCACCAGAGACAGACAGAGAGGAGAGAAAGCACACCCCAGGGGACTAGCAGATGGCTAATGGCTATGTCACTGGACTCCCACGTAGTCAACTGCAGTTCGAGTCCCGGACCCGGTGGCTTAAACTCACGCCGGGCGCGTGTGCGTGCATGCCCAAGATCCTGAGAGGACAATGGAGGAGAAGGGATTGTGCGTGGCAATCCCCCCTGGGTGGCGATTTCTCGCTTTCTGTCTCTCTGTCTCCCTCTGTCTGTCTGGTGAGCACACGCGCCCCATAGCAAAAACCTCTCAAGAAAAAAAAAAAAGAGAACGCACATCCACAATGGGGTGTGGTCTCACCACAATCCCTTTCCTCCATGTCTCCATCCTGATGGGATTCTGGATGCATACACATGCCCAGTGTGTTTTTCAAGCTGCTGGGGCAGGGATTTGAACTGCATGGTTGCCATGTGGGATCCAGCTCTTTTAACCCCTCTCTTAGCTTATCTTTTTTTTTTTTTTTGAGATTTTTGCCATAGGGCGCGTGCGTTCACCAGACAGACAGAGAGAGACAGAAAGCGAGAAATCACCCCCCTGGGGGGGATGGCCATGCCGTAATCCCTTCTCCTCCATTCTCCTCTCGGGATCTTGGGCAGGCATGCACATGCGCCCGGCATGAGTTTAAGCCACCGGGTCCGGGATGTGAACCGCGGTCGACTACATGGGAGTCCAGCGACATGGCCATTACACTAACTGCTTGTCCCCCACTCCCTTAACTTTTGAAACTGAAATGTGAATCTTAAAATCTAGCACGCCTTAGCAGCCATGTTCCATTCCCTGTCCTGCCCATCCGCTTGCTCAGAGGTGCTGTTGCAGAGTGATCTGGACCTTCTGTCCTATCTGTATCCACAGACCTGGGCGCCGTCCTGGCGCCTTGTTATCGGCAGGGTGCCCCTCAGGACATGATGCACTACTCCTCCAAAGCAGGGAGAACAGCACCCCTCCCTTGTAGGGTCACCCTGATAATGAATAGAGCATTTAGGAGCCAGCACGTAACACCCACACAGAAAGGGCTGGCCTTGGTCCACCTTGTTGTGTCTGGTTGTGCGTTTCAGCAGGTGGAGTTTCCCGGAAGTAGCTTCACACGGGAGCCCCAGGTCAGCTAAAATGACGGGGCTGCACTCTGGGCTGCTCTGGGACTCTCGTTAGGGATCCTTCCTCTTGTTTTTCCTGCTGGGCCAGGGTCTCCATCCGGCCCCAGGGTGCGTCTCTGTCATAGTGAAGGAGGGTGCTGGCAGAGCCTGGGACCATGCCTGAGGGGGAGGGCTTGAGCTGCGTGGCCTCCTCCGTGGTGCAGAGGAAGGGCCCCTGGAGCAGCCCAGCAGTTGCAGCTGGGACTGGGCTGTTTCAAAGAGAAGGTAGATTTCCTCTTAGAGAACAGAGTGTGCACGGCTTTTCCAGTAGCAGGGAAACTGGAGGCCGCAAACTTCCTGTAGGGCTGACAGTAAACACTTTGGCCTTTGTGGGCCACGTATTGGGTTGTCAGAAAAGTCATGACGTATTTTTTCTGTTTTTCTTTTGAGAGATTTTTTGCTATAAGGCATGTGCATTTGCCAGAGAGAGAGAGAGAGAAAGTGAGAAATCACCCCCTTGGGGTGCCATGCCACAATCCCTTCTCCTCCATATTTCTCTAGGGATTTTGGGCAGACACACACATGCACCCGGTGTGAGTTTTAAATCCCCAGGTCTGGGACTTGAACCGCAGTCAACTATGTGAGAGTCCAGCGATGTAACCATTATGCCATCTGCTGGTCTCTTTTTTCTATTTTTCTATGCAAAAATGCATCATGACTTTTCTAACAATCCAGTACAACGTTTTATATATCTTAGTTTTTGTTTTGTTTCGTTTTATCTTTTTTTTTCCCTTTACACGCCACAGGGTACATATGTAAGAGAGACAGGGAGAGGGGGAGAGGAGGAGGGGGAGGGGGGAGAGAGCACGATAACTCAACAGTGGCTCCTCACCGTGTCTGTAATCCTTTTTCTTCCCCAGTTCTGTGCCCTGTCAGGATCCTGGGCTGGCTACAGGGTTGGCTCTTTTAAGCTTATTTATTTATTTTCTCCGTGAGTAAGAGTCAGAGGACGGCACCACGGCGGTTTTCAGGCCGTGGCCTGTCCTCAGTTTCAGCTTTAGCCCGCCGAACAGCACCCCTCCCTTGTAGGGTCACCCTGATAATGAATAGAGCATTTAGGAGCCAGCACGTAACACCCACACAGAAAGGGCTGGCCTTGGTCCACCTTGTTGTGTCTGGTTGTGCGTTTCAGCAGGTGGAGTTTCCCGGAAGTAGCTTCACACGGGAGCCCCAGGTCAGCTAAAATGACGGGGCTGCACTCTGGGCTGCTCTGGGACTCTCGTTAGGGATCCTTCCTCTTGTTTTTCCTGCTGGGCCAGGGTCTCCATCCGGCCCCAGGGTGCGTCTCTGTCATAGTGAAGGAGGGTGCTGGCAGAGCCTGGGACCATGCCTGAGGGGGAGGGCTTGAGCTGCGTGGCCTCCTCCGTGGTGCAGAGGAAGGGCCCCTGGAGCAGCCCAGCAGTTGCAGCTGGGACTGGGCTGTTTCAAAGAGAAGGTAGATTTCCTCTTAGAGAACAGAGTGTGCACGGCTTTTCCAGTAGCAGGGAAACTGGAGGCCGCAAACTTCCTGTAGGGCTGACAGTAAACACTTTGGCCTTTGTGGGCCACGTATTGGGTTGTCAGAAAAGTCATGACGTATTTTTTCTGTTTTTCTTTTGAGAGATTTTTTGCTATAAGGCATGTGCATTTGCCAGAGAGAGAGAGAGAGAAAGTGAGAAATCACCCCCTTGGGGTGCCATGCCACAATCCCTTCTCCTCCATATTTCTCTAGGGATTTTGGGCAGACACACACATGCACCCGGTGTGAGTTTTAAATCCCCAGGTCTGGGACTTGAACCGCAGTCAACTATGTGAGAGTCCAGCGATGTAACCATTATGCCATCTGCTGGTCTCTTTTTTCTATTTTTCTATGCAAAAATGCATCATGACTTTTCTAACAATCCAGTACAACGTTTTATATATCTTAGTTTTTGTTTTGTTTCGTTTTATCTTTTTTTTTCCCTTTACACGCCACAGGGTACATATGTAAGAGAGACAGGGAGAGGGGGAGAGGAGGAGGGGGAGGGGGGAGAGAGCACGATAACTCAACAGTGGCTCCTCACCGTGTCTGTAATCCTTTTTCTTCCCCAGTTCTGTGCCCTGTCAGGATCCTGGGCTGGCTACAGGGTTGGCTCTTTTAAGCTTATTTATTTATTTTCTCCGTGAGTAAGAGTCAGAGGACGGCACCACGGCGGTTTTCAGGCCGTGGCCTGTCCTCAGTTTCAGCTTTAGCCAGCCGTAGGTCATGGGCACGTGTGTGCCCAGGGACTCCGGGAAGTCTCTGGACATGAACCTGGAACCTTGCCATGTCGGTCCGCCTCAGAGTGCACTGCATTTTACTGCAGCACCACTCCCCAACACCTGTACTTTTTTATTTAAAAAAAAACTTTTTATGCCTTCTCTAAAAAGCATTCGTAGCTGTGCTTTGTACAAAGCTGGCTGTGGGCCACAGTCCGCTGCCCCTCGGTCTCTTTAGAGCTTAGTAGCCCTGAGCAAGGTGTGGATGAGATTGTGTATTTAGGACATTTGGCTCGCCGGCTGGCGAGCACGTTCTGCCCTGTCTGCCCGTCACTTTCCCCAGGCAGGTGAGCCCTCCGTCCCCAGGAGCTCCGTTGGCTCAGATTCTGGATTCCGAAGCTCTGTCCTTTTCTTTTCTCAGTATTTACTTGATGCCGGCTTCATGCCGGCCACTGCGTCCTCTTTTTCCTGGAGAGAGGCCGTCGAGGCCCTGTCTGTCACCCAGAGGACTGGGGGTTAGCAAGAGAGACTGGGCTGTTCTGTGCTGCTCTGGGGCATCACCAGGCAGGAGGCGGAGGGGTGTTGTTCGTGGGCAGAGGACAGCCAGTGTGACGGCCCCGTGGGATGCAGTGGTGTGGTTTGGTCTGAGGGACTGAAGGAGGCTGCGGGTAGGAGTCCACAGCTCGCGAGATGAGGCCACGCAGCCCCGCAGGGCCTGGGGGAGCATTTGGTCTCTAGCCTGAGGCGCGGAGAGCCACTGCGGGATGGGTGGGCAGCTGCACCATGCTACCGCCTCGTGTACTGCACAGCTCCTAGTGGAGAGCTCCAGGGACGCTCACACTGCTCAGACTGCAGCGGCTAGACGCACTTGTCCTCTGCCGGCCCAGCCCACCGGATGCGAAGACGCGGAGGTGCTGCCTCAACAGGCCCGTTTAGCCCCCTCAGACTGTATCTCTGGCTGCAGCTACCCAGCCCCCTGCCCCGCCCCCGCCCTCCAGATCATGTGGGCGCTAGTGAGAAAGTGCCACCCACATTTTAAAGATCCAGCCTTCTGGGGAAGGACTTCGGAAGTGAGTTAATGGTTTTCATACCTGCCTAGTGGATCTGGAGGTGTCTTAGGCCAGGCTTCTGCCTGGGTGAGAAGTGCTGTATCTCTGGCTGCAGCTACCCAGCCCCCTGCCCCGCCCCCGCCCTCCAGATCATGTGGGCGCTAGTGAGAAAGTGCCACCCACATTTTAAAGATCCAGCCTTCTGGGGAAGGACTTCGGAAGTGAGTTAATGGTTTTCATACCTGCCTAGTGGATCTGGAGGTGTCTTAGGCCAGGCTTCTGCCTGGGTGAGAAGTGGGAGGCTGGGCCCCTGCTCCCGCCCTAGTCCAGCCTCCACTTTCAGCTGCATTAGGCTCGAAATTTTGTCAGGAGTGACAAAGTACTTTGGTCATGCCTTCCCCCACACCCCTTGCAGAGGTGGCAGCTCCTGGACTCCTGGAGCAGGCCCCTGTGACGGGTACTGACCAGAGTCGCCGGCCCTCTCCCTGCAGGTGGAAGTGCCTTGGAGAGAGCTTGCTGGCCATGTACAACCACCTGACCACCTGCGAGCCCCCACGGCCCAGCCTCGGCAAGAGGATCGACCTGTCCGACTACCAGGACCCCAGCCCACCTCTCGTGTCCTCCATGGTGACGCCTGTCAGTGTGATCCAGCCCAGCCCTGTCAGCGCCAACCCAGCCGTGACCGTGGCTGAGCCCGTGGTCTCTTACGCCTCCGTGCCCACCACCAGTTTCCCGCTGCACACTCCCAGCCTGTTGGAGACTGGCACTGCAGTGGGTGAGCAGGCCCCCTGGGGTTGGCATTGAGGGGGCCCTGTTTGCCGAGCCCAGCAGGGATGAG